CAGCGTCCGCCGGATGCTGTTCACAGCAAAACCGCCCACTTGGAGTAGCTGCCATGTGGGCGGGTGAACAGTGGACCTTGACACGTTCTAAGGTCATCTGAAAACTACCTGCAACAAGTCTGCGTCCGCTGGATGCTGCCCACAGCAAGACCGCCCACTTGGAGTAGCTGCCATGTGGGCGGGTGAACAGTGGACTTCGACACGTTCTGAGGTCATCTGGAAACTACCTGCAACAGGTCTGCGTCCGCCGGATGCTGCCCACAGCAAGACCGCCCACTTGGAGTAGCTGCCATGTGGGGTGAACAGTGGACTTCGACACGTTCTGAGGTCATCTGGAAACTACCTGCAACAAGTCTGCGTCCGCCGGATGCTGCCCACAGCAAGACCGCCCACTTGGAGTAGCTGCCATGTGGGCGGGTGAACAGTGGACCTTGACACGTTCTGAGGTCATCTGGAAACTACCTGCAACAAGTCTCACAAGCAGTCTTTGCGAAAACCTCTGTGTCTGCAGGATGCTACCAACAGCAAGATCGCCAACTTGGAGTAGCTGCCATGATGGCGGGGCAACAAATGACTTTGACACGTTCTGAAGTCATCTAGAAATTATCTGCAACAAGTCTGCGTTCGCCGAATGCTGCCCACAGCAAGACCGCCCACTTGGAGTAGCTGCCATGTGGGCGGGTGAACAGGCGGGTGAACAGTGGACCTTGACACGTTCTGAGGTCATCTGAAACTACCTGCAACAAGTCTGCGTCCGCCGGATGCTGCCCACAGCAAGACCGCCCACTTGGAGTAGCTGCCATGTGGGCGGGTGAACAGTGGACCTTGACACATTCTGAGGTCATCTGGAAACTACCTGCAACAAGTCTTGCAAGCAGTCTTTGCGAAAACCTCTGTGTCTGCAGGATGCTGCCAACAGCAAGACCGCCCAAGCTGCGATGTGGGCAGGTCAACAGAGGACATTGACAAGGTCATCTGGAAACTACCTGCAACAAGTTTCCCAAGCAGTCTTTGCGCAAACCTCCGCGACTGCAGGATGCTGCCCACAGCAAGACCGCCCACTTGGAGTAGCTGCCATGTGGGCGGGTGAACAGTGGACTTTGACACGTTCTGAGGTCATCTGGAAACTACCTGCAACAAGTCTGCGTCCGCCGGATGCTGCCCACAGCAAGACCGCCCACTTGTCGTAGCTGCCATGTGGGCGGGTGAACAGTGGACTTCGACACGTTCTGAGGTCATCTGGAAACTACCTGCAACAAGTCTGCGTCCGCCGGATGCTGCCCACAGCAAGACCGCCCACTTGGAGTAGCTGCCATGTGGGCGGGTGAACAGTGGACCTTGACACGTTCTGAGGTCATCTGGAAACTACCTGCAACAAGTTTCACAAGCAGTCTTTGCAAAACCTCTGCGTCTGCAGGATGCTGCCCACAGCAAGACCGCCCACTTGGAGTAGCTGCCATGTGGGCGGGTGAACAGTGGACTTTGACACGTTCTGAGGTCATCTGGAAACTACCTGCAACAAGTCTGCGTCCGCCGGATGCTGTTCACAGCAAAACCGCCCACTTGGAGTAGCTGCCATGTGGGCGGGTGAACAGTGGACCTTGACACGTTCTGAGGTCATCTGAAAACTACCTGCAACAAGTCTGCGTCCGCTGGATGCTGCCCACAGCAAGACCGCCCACTTGGAGTAGCTGCCATGTGGGCGGGTGAACAGTGGACTTCGACACGTTCTGAGGTCATCTGGAAACTACCTGCAACAAGTCTGCGTCCGCCGGATGCTGCCCACAGCAAGACCGCCCACTTGGAGTAGCTGCCATGTGGGCGGGTGAACAGTGGACCTTGACACGTTCTGAGGTCATCTGGAAACTACCTGCAACAAGTCTCACAAGCAGTCTTTGCGAAAACCTCTGTGTCTGCAGGATGCTGCCAACAGCAAGATCGCCCACTTGGAGTAGCTGCCATGTTGGCGGGGCAACAGATGACTTTGACACGTTCTGAAGTCATCTAGAAATTATCTGCAACAAGTCTGCGTTCGCCGAATGCTGCCCACAGCAAGACCGCCAACTTGGAGTAGCTGCCATGTGGGCGGGTGAACAGGCGGGTGAACAGTGGACCTTGACACGTTTTGAGGTCATCTGGAAACTACCTGCAACAAGTCTGCGTCCGCTGGATGCTGCCCACAGCAAGACCGCCCACTTGGAGTAGCTGCCATGTGGGCGGGTGAACAGTGGACCTTGACACGTTCTGAGGTCATCTTGAAACTACCTGCAACAAGTCTGCGCCGGATGCTGCCCACAGCAAGACCGCCCACTTGGAGTAGCTGCCATGTGGGCGGGTGAACAGTGGACTTCAACACGTTCTAAGGTCATCTGGAAGCTACCTGCAACAAGTCTGCGTCCGCCGGATGCTGCCCACAGCAAAACCGCCTACTTGGAGAAGTTGCTATGTGGGCGGGTGAACAGTGGACCTTGACACGTTTTGAGGTCATCTGGAAACTACCTGCAACAAGTCTCACAAGCAGTCTTTGCAAAACCTCTGCGTCTGCAGGATGCTGCCCACAGCAAGACTGCCCACTTGGAGTAGCTGCCATGGGGGCGGGTGAACAGTGGACCTTGACACATTCTGAGGTCATCTGGAAACTACCTGCAACAAGTCTTGCAAGCAGTCTTTGCGAAAACCTCTGTGTCTGCTGGATGCTGCCAACAGCAAGACCGCCCACTTTGGAGTAGCTGCCATGTGGGCGGGTCAACAAAGGACTTTGACACGTTCTGAGGTCATCTGGAAACTACCTGCAACAAGTTTCCCAAGCAGTCTTTGCGCAAACCTCCGCGACTGCAGGATGCTGCCCACAGCAAGATTGCCAAATGGACAAGTTGACCTGTCTGCGGGTGAACAGTGGACCTTGGTACATTCTGAGGTCATCTGAAATTACCTGCGAGCAGTCTTTGCCACAATCTCTGCGTCTGCAGGATGCTTCCCACAGCAAGATAGCCCACTTGGAGTAGCTGCCGTGGACCTTGCCACATGCTGATGTCATCTGGACCCTACCTCCGAGCCGTCTTTGCGAAAACCTCCGTGTCTGCAGGATGCTGCCCACAGCAAGACCGCCCACTTGGAGTCGCTGCCATGTGGGCGGGTGAACAGTGGACCTTGACACGTTCTGAGGTCATCTGGAAATTGCCTGCAACAAGTCTCGCAAGCAATCTTTGCGAAAACCTCTGCGACCGCAGGATACTGCCCACAGCAAGACTGCCATTTGGAAAAGTCGCCCTGTCTGCGGCTGAACAGTGGACCTTGGTACATTCTGAGGTCATCTGAAATTACCTGCGAGCAGTCTTTGCCACAACCTCTGCGTCTGCAGGATGCTGCCATGCTGCGGTCATCTGCAATCTCCCTGCGAGCAGTCTTTGCCAAAACCTCTGCGTCTGCAGGATGCTGCCCACAGCAAGACCGCCCACTTGGAGTATTTGCCATGTGGGCGGGTGAACAGTGGACCTTGACACGTTCTGAGGTCATCTGGAAACTACCTGCAACAAGTCTTGCAAGCAGTCTTTGCGAAAACCTCTGCATCTGCAGGATGCTGCCCACAGCAAGACCGCCCACTTGGAGAAGTTGCTATGTGGGTGGGTGAACAGTGGACCTTGACACGTTCTGAGGTCATCTGGAAACTACCTGCAACAAGTCTTTGCGCAAACCTCCACGACTGCAAGATGCTGCCCACAGCAAGACTGCCAAATGGAAAAGTCGCCCTGTCTGCGGGTGAACAGTGGACCTTGGTACACTCTGAGGTCATCTGGAATTTACCTGCGAGCAGTCTTTGCCAAAACCTCTGCGTCTGCAGGATGCTGCCATGCTGAGGTCATCTGGAATCTACCTGCGAGCAGTCTTTGCGCAGGATGCTGCGCACAGCAAGACCGCCCACTTGGAGTACTTGCTATGTGGGCGGGTGAACAGTGGACCTTGACACGTTCTGAGGTCATCTGGAAACTACCTGCAACAAGTCTTGCAAGCAGTGTTTGCGAAAACCTCTGCATCTGCAGGATGCTGCCCACAGCAAGACCGCTCACTTGAAGAAGTTGCCATGTGGGGTGAACAGTGGACCTTGACACGTTCTGAGGTCATCTGGAAACTACCTGCAACAAGTCTCGCAAGCAGTCTTTGCGCAAACCTCCGCGACTGCAGGATGCTGCCCACAGCAAGACTGCCAAATGGAAAAGTGAACAGTGGACCCTGGTACATTCTGAGGTCATGTGGAATTTACCTGCGAGCAGTCTTTGCCAAAACCTCTGCGTCTGCAGGATGCTGCCCACAGCAAGACCGCCCACTTGGAGTATTTGCCATGTGGGCGGGTGAACAGTGGACCTTGACACGTTCTGAGGTCATCTGGAAACTACCTGCAACAAGTCTTGCAAGCAGTCTTTGCGAAAACCTCTGCATCTGCAGGATGCTGCCCACAGCAAGACCGCCCACTTGGAGAAGTTGCTATGTGGGCGGGTGAACAGTGGACTTTGACACGTTCTGAGGTCATCTGGAAACTACCTGCAACAAGTCTGCGTCCGCCGGATGCTGTTCACAGCAAAACCGCCCACTTGGAGTAGCTGCCATGTGGGCGGGTGAACAGTGGACCTTGACACGTTCTGAGGTCATCTGGAAACTACCTGCAACAAGTCTTGCAAGGAGTCTTTGCAAAAATATCTTCCTGTCAGGCTACTCGGCTTCTTGAGGGGCTCGTTTGATCGCACACTTGTAAATGGAATCCAACACGGCACTGTTTCGGGTCAAAACCCCGTACCCCCAGTGAACATCCCAATCCCCACTAAAGTAGACTGAAATGGGTGGTGCTACCCCAAAATGGTACCATTGGTGTTGACCCACGGCCAGTTGGCTCAAGACTTCAGGGACGCCAGCGCTGTCGTTTTTGGTTCTGACGGATGCATGCCATGGGTGTCTGGCACACACTACTGCCCTGCCCGTGTTGGGCAGTCACCATTTCCACCAGCCTACGGCCCGTCTCCAGTGGTAGGACCGCTGATGTCAATGATGCGCCACTGACTGACCTGAGTGGCACAACTTGGCAGTCGCATGTCTGGCAACCATGAGAATCGGACAATGCCTCAAGTCAGACAACGGCTTTGCATCTTGAGCTCGATTTGGGGACCCTGGTCATCCCAAACGGGAATAAATCAGGGTACCAACTTTCTGCTGTAGTCTATTTTAGCAGGGGAACCCTCCCAACCAAAAGAGGGGTGAGAGGCCGGGCACCTGCCTGGGGGACCCAGATAAGGCTGGGGACGTGCTCGGCTGTGCATCTTGCTGCCGCGAGACGCCGTCAGTGTCGAAGGCGGACTCAAAGATGAGATCGTCGATGCTGTGCCGCTCCTGCTGTTCCCAGCGCAAGACTTTGGAGCCAGAAGAGCGGGAGCAGGCGCTTGGTTCACGTTGGAAGGGGAGCAAACAAAAATAATAGCAGTCAAGTGAATTTTTAATCAGGCTTGGTTGACGTTGGAAGGGGAGCAAACATTTAAATTTGAGCCGTCGGCTGGATTTGGACTTCAACCAATAGCCCCACAATAAGCGATAAGTGTAAAACGTGTCCCAACAACAACCCATGCTTTGGTGGGATTGAAAGGGAAACCCCAAGGAAAACCGTTGCGCCATTTTGGGGGTCCGATCTAAAACAAATCAACACATCCGTGCAGGATGCCGCCGGTGAGGCCATCTTCGGAAGCCACGCCCCAGGCTCCACTCTGCAACCGAAGTCATGGCCATTCCAAACCCTTCGTCTCGAGTTTCCCCTGTGGTGTGTTTTTGTTTGGCTCCTGGGGCTGGATTTTTCCTAGCTGGGGTTCTGCATGGCTGGTAACATCCCAGCATCACCAGCATCACCAGCCTCAATTGGCCTCTGATTGGGAGGCAGTTGGGAGTTGCTGGGGGCTGGTTTAAGTTAAGGGGGGTTTGGGCTGGCTTAGATCTTCGTTAGGGTGGGTCTTGTGATGGTTTGGGGTTGATTTAGGGCTGACATCCAGGCTGCTGTTGGGCGGGTTTAGGGTTGACTTTGGGTGGATTTGGGGTGGGCTTGGAGCTGAATCGTGTTGGGTGCTGCTGGCAAAACAGTGCCTTTAGGGTTGCTTTAGGAATGTTGTTGCATGAGTTGTGGGCGAGTTTTGGTAGTTTGGGGCAGAATCCTAAACGAGACCAAAACTCGCGTAACCACACCCCAAAAGCAACCCTAAAGGCACTGCTTAACTATATCAGCCCTTTGCCAAGCCTAAATGAACCCCAAACAAACCCAAGACCCGCCCTCGTTAAGACCTCAGCTCACCCCAAACCAGCCCCGAGCAACTCCGAACTGCCACCTAATCAAAGCCAATAGGCAGCTCTAGTCCGAGCGAGGCCAGTAATGCTGGCGATGCTGCCGGCTAAGCCCGAGCAACTCTCAGGCCGGGGATGCCGGGGATGCCGGGGATGGACCGACCAACCAACCAACCAACCAACCAACCAACCAACCAACCAACCAACCAACCAACCAACCACCAACCAACCAACCATCCAACCATCCAACCAACCAACCGACCAACCAACCGACCAACCAACCCAGCCCTAGTAAAACAAGCAGCCCTAGGAAGAAAAACGGACCCCAAATCCACCCACGTGATCGAAAAGATCTTGGACCTTACCGCGCTGTCAACTAACTCCTGCTCCGGCGCGAAGGTCATGCTTATCACGGAGAAGAGCCGCGCACCGGCGACTACAATCTGCTCATCCTGTGGCTGTCGGCCAACGAGCAAATCCGAAGCAAAGGACGAGCCCCACTCGTAAAAGCAGCGAAAGCGGAGATTTCGGGTCACAAGTTGACGGGCTCCTTCTGGGCTCCTCGCTTCGGCCCGGGCGGCTGCAGTGTGAAGATGAACGCCTGCCCAAAGAAAACGACGAGTTTGTTTCTGTAACAAAATCCACTGGGTTTACCGGTAATTTTGTTCTTGGATTGCTTTAAACTCAATGGTCTTTATGTATAAAAGGAAACAACCAAACCCAACGACGATCAATCCATGGGAACGAACATTCCACTCGCTCATTATGCTCAAAATTACCAGGCTGGCAATATCCCCTGCCAATCATGATACGCCTGTCTGAAATGCCGGGATGAGAAAGGAGCCCTCATTTGGCCGGCTGATACGCTCACTGCTCGCCCAGGTGCCCAATCTTCAAGGTACGGCCATGGGAACTTCCACGATTTGAGACTCACTGAGGCCATGTGTGCAATCTGAGGACTCTGCTGAGTAAGACTGAAGATCAGTTGAACCTGAGGACACAATTGAGGACAAACATACATGAATCATTGAGGACGATTTTGAGCAAGATTCAACGCTTCTCCCTGGACTGCCGGGCTTCAAACGCTTTCAGCACCTGATGGTATGGACTCCCGATGCTCAAAAAAATGGTGGATCGGAGAGGCCCACATCGGCAGATATTTCCCTGACGCACAGAGACATGGGCTCGTCTCACGGGCGGGAACCCTTGTGACTGCAAACTCGACCATCACAAACAACACCCTGAGAAAACAAAGGAGCCAAGCCACGTGCCCAAGGGCTTCTGAAGCTGCGGGCTCCGGCTTCCCATTTTGAGGCTTTTAACCCGTATTTCGAGGCTCCAAATGGGTATGAGTCAAAGAAAAGCCGTTTTCCGTATACCACCAGGAGCCTCGGAGCGCAGGCTTTTGAGTCCATTCCAATTATATAAGTCATTTAAAAAAAAATAAAAATGTTTCTTTTTCGTCCAGCCCATTTACCCGGGTTCATTTCCAGGGCTCCTCTTAGTCCATCCCCTCCTTACCAGGGTTCCATTTCCAGGGTACCCATCGACCGCCAATCGACCGCTCCACGCCTCCGTCGAGGTCCAGTGGATGCCGCACTGCTCCCGGCCGAAGCGCTTCCGCCAGGGCTCGAAATCGCTGTGCGCGGAACGCACGATGGGCCAAAGCTCCTGTCGGCGGTTTTTAGGGGTCGGTGATTTGGGGGATTCCCGAATACAGGAAACCAAAGGTTGGATGGTTTATTGCTGCCCTCTTTGGAGCCTCTCCCAAAAATTCCAGGTGCAATGGCAACGGTTTCAGCAAGTGGTTTCCCTTCTAGGTCCTCCAGTAGAGAGGTTAGAATAAGTTGGTACCAACTTTTTCTGTAGTCTGTCTTAGTAGGGGAACCCTCCCCCAAAAGAGGGTCAAAGGGCCCTACTGAGGGACCTAGCTGTGGTACTTGGGCGTGTCGTTTTTTGGCCCCCCCCCAAAATGGCTTCGGTTTCCCTTGGGGGTTCCCTTGAAAAAAAACAAGCAAAAGGGGGTTCCCCTTTTAAAACAGACAGATTACTTGGTGGTTGGATTCAAAGTCCAATCCACCAAACCAAACCACCAACTAGGCACGGGGTGAACTGTGGTACTTGAGTTACTCTTTATCTGACATTTGGCGGCATCATGTATCGACCTTGGTATACCATTTGCACCAGTCAACACTTAATTGCAACGTGTCTTCAACACCTCAGGCAGTGATGGCCGCGGAGACCAAAGGCCTGAAATCAGCTCAACCGGCCTTCAAATCTGCAAATTGCAGACGCAACTAGCGCATTCATGTTCAACAGAAACAGAAACAACAGCGATGAAGCCATGGGCTTTTCAAAATCCAAATCGGTTAGCCCCAGTGAACATCAACCAATCCAACCACTCAAATAGGAACCCTAAAATGGGTGGTGAATTCACCTACCCCAAAATGGGATCCCATTGGCTTTGACCATGTCTCAAAAGGTCCATGGCCTTTGCAAGTTCGGACTGGCACTGAAGACCTGCAAGCCGCGTCGGAGTTGCGACTCGAAAGTTGCCGTTGCCGAGTCACTTCCGAGAAGAGATCTTCGAGATGGCCTGGCACGTGTTCAAAAAAGTGTTTTTTTCTTTTATTTTTCTTTTTTCCCGGAATAGTATTCGAGGCATAGGTGTCCTTTTTGGGAAAATAGACGGATTTCCCTGGTAGTTGATTGAACCACCAGGTAAACCAGGGCCCTCTATTTTTCAACCAAATCAACCTAAAAGGACACCTATGGTTAGAGGCATTTGGGGGGTGGCAGCAAAGGGTGAAACATACAGAAGCCCTTGTTTCAGACTTGCCATGACGATATCATGCTGAACGCCCCAATTCGAGCGGGAAAAGCCACGACTGCTCTTGAAGTTGAAGTGACAGCAGCTATGTCCTTAAACACCAAGGATAAGACATGTAAAATTGACGTGTGTATCGCTCAGTCGACCTGATGCCAAAAAGCCTTCCTTTTGAGGCTGTGAAAACCTCCAACCGTTGCTTTTTGCTTTTTGAACCCACAAATCCAACCGACGTCTTTTGCTTTTTGACCCATCGACTCGGAGCTCTGCGCGCATCGGGTCGGTGCCTATGTGATCCGCTGCCATGAGCTCCTGCTGCAAGTGGCGGTAGACGTCGATGGAGGACGCCAGGAACTCATCGCACGCCTGGCAGAGTCGCGTGCTGGAAGCCCCGGGTTAAAACGGTGGTTTGGTGGTGGGGTGGCTTCCCATTTACCCTCTAGAACCAGGAGTCAAAAGAATCGTAAGAATTGATCCCAGAACCAGCCTGGCCACTTGAGCCACTTGCTCAAAACCCGGTAGTAAAATGGTCCTAATTCCCCAGAACCATGCTTCAAAAAAATCAAGACGGACCGGATCTCCGCTACTATAACTCTGGCTGGGACTGCCGCTGAACCTTCATCTCCTTGTTGCCGTGACCAAAGTCGGCCAAAAAAAAACCCGCCAATGCACGGCCAACAGCCGACAGCAGACGAATGAGCAAAAAAAAATCTTCGGCCAGCGATGTCAGGAAACCATGCCATGTCAGGAAAAGATATTGCTTGTTGTGATAGGGAATGAGCTCACCTGCCTACCAACATCTAGGTGTCGATCATTTGTAAGAGCCAAAATGCAGGAGCTACGCACTCATCACACGCAAAGCATTCCACCGTTTCCAGTCAAGGGAGACATCACAGTTTGCTTTCGGCTTTCACTCACAAACCATGAAATGGGATTCCCACCCCCTCCCCCACCCTCTTTACTTGGATGTTCAACCCACTTAGCAAGTAGGTTACAACCATGGTTATCAGCTATAACCTTAGTTATAACTTACGTACTACATGGCTTGAACATCGGTTACAAGCCAGGTGACCCCAGTCACTCCAGTTATAACCTTAGTTATAACTTACATCCAAGTAACCCCCCCCCCCCCACCAAAGCCAGCGTGCTCCACACCGCCCATCCCGCCGAGCTGCGGGGAACTTCTCTTTGCCGCCGCTTTTCTCCTGGACCACTCGCCAGCAGTACTGCCAAATGGGATGTCGAAGCACCTCGAGTCGAGAGGCCACGTGGCTCGCTTCTCGTTGTTAGGAGTCGGACCCCCCCCCCTCCACGACCAAAAAAACCAAGGCGAGCAACGCTTGCTTGGGGTTGGGCAGTTTTAAAAACAAGACACCCGTTTCTGCGCAAGTCGGAGACTGCTTCGCCCAACTCACCAGGCCTCCACTGAACGGCGCGCGTGCCAGCCCAACTTGGCCAGCATGGCATCGGGCGATGTGGCCAAAACGTCTCGTTTTTCGGGAGCTCTGGAAGCCGCAATTTGATTTCGCAAAAGAACTGGCGCCCAGCTGGGCCATGTGAATGTTCATTCCATCCCTCCTAGGGGATAAACAAAAGATATGCCATGTCATAACATGCTGTGCGTTGAACCTCCTGTGCTTTGTGGTGCCAGCTTGAGAAAAAAATCCGCCGGGGCCAAAAAGAGAAGCTTGACCTGCAAACATGCACCAAAAGGACCCAGGCACCAGGCATCAGGCACCCAGAGGCACCCAGGCTCATGGCTGTGGGTGTCAAAAATAGGGTAACCCCAAAATGGAACCCTGGTAAATGGAACCAAAGACTAAAACCTGCGGGTACCCAAAATGGCTTGCCTTGGTAAATGGAAAAGACTAAAACCTGCGGTCCAGGAATCGATTCCTGGTGGCTTAATTTTGACCCATACCCACATCAATGCCTTGTCTTGGAAAGGTTGGGCGAAAGCCCAGTGGACGCCCAGCTGGTTTTGTGGCCATATATGTCTGTGGCTCATAACAATGTACCAAAATGGCACCTTGGTAAATGGAAAGCTGGTATATGTCGCCCCCCTTCCCCACATCTCTCTCCCTCTCCTGCGCAATCGCTGTACTCATGACCTGGCAGCTTGTCTGGGTTGCCCTGGCCCAAACGACTGGATTTGAGTCAGAGACCTGGAAGTGTTGACAGCTGAGTCATACTCAAACCCCGGTATTAAAGGATCTACCCAGAAGCATGTGAAGAATTAAGAAGGCGGCCGCAGCTATTTATGGTTGGGATTGTCCTTGCTAACCTTCATCTACCCGGGTTTTGATTGTGGCTCAGCTGTTCTGAGCAGCCTTGCATTCGTGTTGATCTTCAATTGAGCCATCCCTGCCGCTTCCTGACAAGGCAAACATGAAGCAACCAACTGCAACGCCATTTTCCGAAAGCGCACAGACTAGAGAAGACACTCAAACAGATAGACAGACAAACAGAAAGCCAGAAAGAGACAAAGAGGGAGATCTAGAAAACGGATTGGATGTGGTTCTTTGCGGATTACTTGTTCTTCCCCCTGTTGGTCCTCTTCTAGTACTCTTTTAATACTCTCTTTTCATATCCTACAGGGATATGTGGATCCACAAAAATCACATCCAAACCGTATTCTAGAAGGGAGAGAGAGAGAGAGAGAGAGAGAGAGAGTGAGGAAAACAGAAGGCAAAGACCAGCAACACATCGAGGCAAATACGGACAGGGACAAACAGAGACAGGCACAATTTGACAGAGACGGAAATCAGAACAAAGGAAGAGACAGAGCGAAGAAGAGCAAGGAAGAGAGACAGACAGAGACAGAGCCGGAGACATCAACAGAGACATCAACAGAGATGGAGATGAAGGAAAGAGACAATCAGGCACAAAGGCAACAAACGGAGATCTAATCAAATACACTACACACTTGTTACACTTACACGCACAAAATGATGGCCGAAGTGTTGGCAATAGTTGGCGGCACAAATCGTCGGGGGCATCAGTTCGATCAATTTTTTGTCGGGGCACCATTTTATTTTTATTTGCTTAAGGCCACAGAACAAATAAATAAAACACATTCCTTGTAGTTGGAGGACATCAGACCAAAAATTCGCAATACCGGGCCCCAAGTTCACACCTCCCTCAAGAACTTTGCAACGCAAACGTCCGGCACCACCATTTCAACCCCTCTCCGCTCACTGTACTGCCGTTTGACCTTTTCGCAGCCATGCTCCGTCTTCGTAAGGGAGTGTTAACCATTGGATGTTTTCACAAGGAAACGAAGAAGACGAACACTTCAGAAAAAACTTGAGCAACTTCTCCAAGAAGGACTCTTTGTCCAAAAAAACCCTCCAAACAAACCCACCTTCCGCCGGGCATTGATTCGAATCAATTGGGAGCTTCTGTCGCTGACATACCTGTGCCTCCACGCTCTCTTCGGAGGTTCTACGCCGTGCAGTTCCTGTGAGCAATCGGATGGATGAATGGATGGATGGATGGATGGAATCCCCCCATTGCACAAAGTCAGCTAAGGCCCTTCATCTTAAGAACCACCAGAACGCATGTGGACTCGAACCGTTGAACCCCCCCCAAAATGAGCGCAAGTTGAATGCTTGTGGACTGGTTGCTCCTTTGCAACCAAAAGGCTCTCCATCCGGAAGCCTTGAGCACCACTAAACAAAGCCAAGAAGAACACCCTGTCAGGGGAAATCAAACAATAAATAAACAACACATAAACAAATAAAAAAACAACACATAAATAACTAAATAAATAAAGGAATGAATAAATGAATAACTAACTAACTAAATAAATAAACATATAAATAATAATAAAAACAAAAACAATAACTAAATAAATAAATTAAACAAATACACAACTACATAAATAAATAAATAAATAAATAAACAACTAAATAAACAAATAAGTAAACAAACACATATCTATGTATATTATTTTTTGTCGCAGGGACTCGAGCGGACTGGTGCAAGGGAGCTGCCTGGGAGACTGGGAGGGCATGGGCCAATGGGAGGAGACTGGGCTGGGAGACTGGCCGCTGGATTGGGGGGGTAGACTTGGGCGGAAGAAAGTGCTAGTGTTGTAGAAAGCAAAAGTTGAAGCCCTCGACCTCAAACGTGAGGACCATGAAATCTCAGTGGAGAACGAAATGCGACAGAAGCCCTGCCTTCGGATCAAGTCCAGGTTTTTTTCATACCAAACAGGCTCTTTCTTTCGGGTTTCGTGACGACCTCCAACGTGAGGGCTTCATGGCAAATCAAATCTCCAACCTGAAGCTTCCCACTTGAGGGATTCACTCTATTGGCAGCTCCCTGCCATAAGGTTCATGCGGCGCGTGGTACATGGCTGTCCTTCTTTGAGTTGCTTACCTCCGTTTTTTTTTTGTGGGTTTACTGTGGAACCAAGAGAACAAAACACATTTTTTGGGGGGTCCCACCTGTAAAAAGATGCACCCATGGTCTCAACCCGAATATGTGGGGTAGAATTGCAGCCGCCCTTTGTTGAGCTATCTTCCATGGGAGGTGGCGCAAAAAAGAGACCGTTCCATGTGCTCAGTAGCTTCCGACTCATTGCCTGAGGCTGTCTATAGATGAGCGGCAACCAAACACATCGTGCCTTTTCTGATACGCATCAATCTCGAGCACCCAACATCTGGCAACTCACCGTCCATGTTACGGCAGCCCCAGAGTCAAGCTCAGTTGCTCTTGCGCCTGGCTGCTGTCTCCGCCAGCTTTGGATCGCCCCAGGTCACAACAGCGCCAGATTCAAGAATGGCAGCAAAAGCGCACTCAGTCGCTTGGACGTGCTGGGCGCTCCTCAGCTGCTCTTGCACCTGGCAGCTATCTCCTCCGTGTGCACAGGTCTCAACGGCCCCAGGTTCAAGAACGGCAGCAAAAGACCAAGCGTCATGTGCGGTTGTTCGGCAGCCTTTGCGCTTGGGTGTCTCTGCACAAGTCTCCATGACCCCACGTCACAACCTCGGCCCCGTGGCCACGCCAAGAAATGTCCTGCCAGTGGCGGCCACTTCGCCCTGCGCAATCGCAGCCACCACGTCCCCATCTTGCAACCCGGCCTTGTGCAAAGTAGCCGTCAAATCGAGCCGCCGGCCTTTCGCAGTGAGATTTAGGCGCCGGGCATGCTGCTGCGCTGCAGCTTTCAGCTCGCTGACACGTGTCGCTGGTCAGACTTCTATGGAGCAAGCATCTCCACTGGGCAAGTGCACATCCACCTTCATGGCGCAGGACGCTTCTTCTGGGTGCATTCGATTGAACACGAGCAAATGTACATTGGGTAGGGCCTTTTTGAATGCATTCTAAGGTTCGTCATTAACGAGGGTTGAAATCCTACGTAGGCACTGAACAAATCTTTCACGGGTTAATTCATCGGCACCTTCAAACTGAAGTTTTGGAGCCGAAGCCAAGGCGAGATCGACGTCGGCGCTTCTGTTGCAACCGGATGGCGGCTTGCCGAATCGGTGAGTCATACCCATAACCCAGCGCAGGAGAACGCTCAAAACCTCGAAGCCCAGGGTAAGGATTTGCAAAGACAACTCTTTCCGCTCGCATTTGGCAGGTGATCATTCCGCACTACCAGCTTGGATTGGTGGCTTGGACTGGTGGCTTGGATTGGTGGCTTGGACTGGTGGCTTGGATTGGTGGTTGGAGGGTACCAGAACACCTTTCCCATGCAGTCTTGTCAACAGTGCTTCACATCCCCAAACCGCCGATGACAGGCTTCATGTCCGCCCCGTTTCATGTCCACGGGTGTTCCGCCCACTAACACTCATGCCAAATGTATCGACACGGCGCTCCCCCTGAACCCCCCGGATTGCCCCCAGAACTCTCGTGCGCAAGACGGGACTTCCGAAATGGGCTTTGTCAATATAAGCTTCCAAAGAAAGCCGCCATCCATCCATGACGATCCATGCGGTCGCTCCCGATGTGGGCAAAATATGGTTGCGCCAACCATGGGTAAAGCCCATCTACTTCCCAAAAACCAATCACGCAAGTGCAACTTCCCCCAAATTTCGCACCATCTCCTCAAAAAATCATTGGTACAGCCATTTGAGGACTACACTCATAGACCCTTAGGGGGGGGGGGGGCGGGCTATCCCTAATTGGCGTTATTAAGTTGGCTTATCAACTTGGCTTATAGCCCCACTAGGGGTCCATGATAGAACCCTAGGTCCTCCACTACAGAGGTTAGAATAAGTTGGTACAACTTTTTTCTGTAGTGTACTTTAGTACGTGAACCCTCCCAACCAAAAAAAAAGCCAAAAGGGCACTGGGGACCTAGAACCTGACTGGCCCCCCTTCTTGCCTTCTCGGAGCTGGTCTGGAGCATGGCGCTTGCAGAAGGCCTGAGGCTCAGTTCAACTTGCGCATGGAGAGCAAACATGTAGGGTTTTAAACCATCCAAGAGGAAACCAAAAGAACACATTTTACCAAAAGTCTAGGGGTTGATTCCGATACCATTCTTTTTAATCATCCTTCTTTTCAACAACTGGATCTGTTTCCCCTGGGTGGTTGATGGCTGCCACACACATGAACAAGTACATGAAACGTTCGGGTTGAAAGGAACCTCTCATTGAAGGGCCAGGAGGAAATTGCTTGCTCAACCTGTATTGGCAAGCCAAAGCTGCAAAATGCCGAGCCATTGGTTTAGAATGCTCATCGTGGCCAGAAGTGTTCGAGTAAAACTAAGGACAGAGAAAGAGAGAGAGAGAAAACACAAAAGACACCCACGTCTACTCTGAGCAATGGCCGGAATTTCTAGTCATTGTCCTTGATCTTGGCCAGTCAGAGGTCAGCCGAATTGTCGTCAATCGAGATAGGACAAAGCTGTGTGGCTTCATAAGGCTTGACCCTTGAGTCTTTTGAAGGTGCCCGCAGGAACCGAAACCCTCCCAGTGGAATTTCAAGCACGGCACTTGGCCAAGGTGCAAATGCCATTGGCTCTACTGTACAATTTTTCTGGCTGGGCTAGATGAGTCCCAAACTTTCAGCAGGGAACCAGCAAAAGTTGAAGCGGCAGAATTCCTCGTCGCACAGAGCATCTGTCAATCTGGCAAGCAAAGGGGGTATCATGGATGTGGGTCTAGCCCTTCTTGGACTGTTGCTTCGGCACTTCCTCAAAGCTCTTGTACTTGCTTCAAAACAATCTGGACATTCCGAGTTGCGCATCTATCATCTCTTCCACCCACACCACATGGTAGGGTAGCAACACACTTTGCTCATCTATCATGCCTTCCACCCACATGGCGCGGTAACACACTTTGCTCGTTGAGACTAAAATGAAGAGGGCACAAACTGCCAACGGCGGTGAAGCATCTTTGCAAGTTCCAAGTCACACCAAGACCAGGGAGGAAGGGCCATTTGAGATCGAGAGAAATCGACCAAGTCAAACACCAAACTGGCTAAGGGTTGCCCACCAGGGTTGCAGCTGGGTGTGCTGCTTTGGAGGGTTCCCCTTTTTTTGAGCAGCTTTTAAGGGGGAACCAACGTCAAACCGCTGCCAGGGGGGTCCAACTCCCTGAAAAAAGCCCCGCCTCGCTCCGCTGGAAGAGGCTCAGATTGGGGCCTGCCGTTCGCAAGACCGAAGCGCTGTCCGTTTTCAGATCTTAGGCTAGAAGTTGTCCTCAGATCCCCCGCTAAAAGTTCCGCTTTTAGCGGGCGAAACTCGGAAATCCAACCACTAAACACTAAAAAAAGTCTCGGAGTGGACACGAGGCTCCAAACAGAAAAGTTCTAGCCATGCACTCGAGTTTGTGACGAACATCAATCATTGGCTTTGTCAGAAACTGTTTGGGCCACAATGCCCATTCCAACGCAGGCGTTTGCAAAATACGAAATATCCCAAATTTGGTGTTGTCATACTTGCATTATGAGGATCACGTACCAACTTCTTGACATCAGCAGCGCTGCTCTATGCTTTGATTGTACGCCAGTATCGAAAAGCGTTTCCTGCATAATCTGTTGACGATGAGGATTGTTCACGACTCCCCTGTTTGATAGGCAAATTCCTTCCAACTGAGTCCGACAGTCTCCAGTTCTCTTGATGATACAACGGCTGTCCACTCCCGTTAGTCGTAACACCCTGCACACGCATGCATGAACAATACCCTATCGTATTGAATGAGCTGTCCGTGTATGTTTTGTTTTGTAAGCAGCTCAATAATTGCTGCACCATGACAGGACTGCCAACATACACTCCCACCAATTGATTAACATGACAGGCTCCTTGTTTTTGGGCCATTTTCCTTTTGATGGGGGCCACTTTCCCGTCAGGTTCCATGTAAAGCTGGGAGGCTCACTCCGCCCGGCGCCGACGCCGCGACTTTCTCACCGGACGCCGATGCCGCCGACGCCGCCGCCGGCTGCCAGCGCGGCGCTCCGCTGCTGCGCGTCCTGGGAGTCCAGCGTCCGCAGCTGCATGTCGATGAGCAACGAGATCTCGGGACGGCCATCCCAGAACTTTGCCAATGTGGGTGTGCGCTGCTGTTTTTGTTTTGCTTTTTGCGATTTTGGTTTCTTCATTGGTTTTTTTCTCGCTTCTTTTCAAGGTGGAAATCCCAGAACTGAAACGCACATCCCAATGGAGGGATTGGCAATGCGACCATACGACCTTCCAAAACACACCTGCCACACACCTGCCAGAACCCGCTTTTTCTCTGGGCCACCCTTTTATCCTCTAGTCCATTTTAGTCAGGGGGTTCCTCCCCCAAAAAAGAAACGGTAGCTGGCCATGAATTTTAGGTGGACGTCCAAATTCGGTGGGGTTTTATGTCCACCACCTTTCCAGAAGCTTCAGGGCTGTGGCAAATGGAATCCACGAATCTGTGATACGTTGCAAAAAGGGCTTCCCAAACACTAACCCCCCACATAACGGGCGAGATTCCCAAAAGTATCGGACAGAAGTGGGGTAAAGGTAAAGCCCCGAGTGATCCACCACCACCTGTCAGACGGGTTCCTTCGGTCCCAATTCCACGGCGCTGGGGGCAGTTCTCGGAGCGAGGCGCGTGGCTGAGATCCGCCAGGCCCTGCTGGGTGGCCTCCGCCACCAGCGGCGCCGCCTGCGTCAGCAGCGCCCGCGCCATGGACCGCCGCACCTGCGCCGCCTCGGCCGAGGCGCCGGGGTTTTCTGCGGGGTTTTCGGGGGAAGGGGGGAGGGGCCGGCCGCGAAAACTCGGGGGGCGTGGAATGGGGGGAGTGCCATGAGTGGGTGTGATGGGGGATGGGGGGTGTGAGGGGCGTAATGGAGTGTAAGGGGGGGTGTAATGGGGGTGTAATGGGGTGTAATGGGGTGTAATGGGGTGTAATGGAGTGTAAGGGGGGCTGTAATGGGGGTGTAATGGGGTGTAATGGGGTGTAATGGAGTGTAACGTGGTGTAATGGGGTGTAATGGAGTGTAATGTGTCCCCATACCCGCGACTCCAAATGCCCCGCCTTTTTTCTAGGGCATCATGTCGACCCTCTACTAAGAAAGGGATCGGTATTTACCTTGAAAAACAAATGGGTTTAAAAAAAAAGACAAAGTGAGTACTTGGAGGTTCCGGGGGTATCTTTTTCGGGAATAGTGAGCAGTCGGCGGATTGGAGGTGGGCTTAGAATTGGTTTCATGTCGACCCCATATTCATCAACCACTGTTTATTCATAGAGTGTGGCAAACTGGGTGAAATCAGACCACTGTTGGAGGGGCCAAAACCACCCCCCTGTTAATAAACTGTGGGCTCAGCATTAATCTGCTCTTTGAAGAAAAGATCTGGCCAACATGACAAGACCCATGTGAAGTGCTGCCGAGGTTTAGGAGGTCCTTGGAAGACTGAGGAGGTGCGAAGTGGGCATCACTCATAGCGGAGTTCGGGTCGGTTGTTTCTGTCCGCGACAAATATGTTCCAAAAAAGGTTGCTGGTGAGAAGACCCCCTGGTGTGTTCATAACACTAGGCATCTTAGATTGGAATGAAAACGCTTCTTGACAGAACTCTGGCAGCTGACGGTAGCTACTTTCTAATCCTACCCCTGGTCACAATGATTAAACGGGGTATGACTCAACATGCGGCTTGACCACTTTTCCTCGTTCAATCAGGTGACGGGCGGCAATCGGACCTCACTTCGGTCGTTTGCCTGGCAATCAAACATGGTCATCGCGTTGAGTCAAGGGCCTGTGAGACGAAGTCCTATGCGTATGGGTCAAAAATAAACCATCAGGGGACTGCAGATTTTAGTCCATGTTTCCATTTACCAGGGTTGCATTTCGGGCAGCTATTATTGACCCACAGCCATATTCATGCATGATCCACTATGGCCATTTCAAGCGCTGTGGAAATCGTGCTGTCCTTGCTTGCGCCGCTCGCATTGATTAAAACACGCTTTGCGCCAAACGCGGCCATGCCACCATGTAGATTGCACTCTCCGTCTCATTTTGGGTTATCTCACGAATCTGATAGATCAACTAGGGCTCCTATGACCTCCTGTTGACCTTTTTGGGACCGCGGGGCTCGGACACCCGTCACCCCTCAAAACGGGGGGGGGGGGGGGGGGTAAGAGGGAAGAGTATGTTTCATGTGCCGGGGAGAGGTCCGGGCATCAACATCACACTGAGAGCTGGCTTTCAGGCAGATCTTGTATAGGAATTGATTTCATAAAATTGCAAATCTTAGTCTGAGAAATTGGCTTCCAGGGGAATTTGGTAGGAATGAAATTGCAGATATTACAAATTAGTTTGTAAGGTAAAGAAAATATTCTCCAAAAAACCAAATTTTACAAATTTTACAAATTCTAGTTAGCTTCCAGGGGAATTTGGTAGGAATTAAATTGCAAATTTTACAAATTTTACAAATGAATTTGTAAAATTTTGTAAAATATCAAAAAATCTGGCCCAAAATTACATTTTTTTACAAATTTTACAAATTGATTTGTACAATTTGTAAAATATCAAAAACATATGGCCCAAAATTACAAATTTTACAAATTTTACAAATTCTAGTCTGAGAAATTAGCTTCCAGTGGAATTTGGTAGGAATTAAATTACAAATTTTACAAATTTTACAAATTAATTTGTAAAACTTGTAAAATATCCAAAAAAATCCGGCCCAAAATTACAAATTTTACAAATTAATTTGTAAAATTTGTAAAATATCAAAAAAAATCTGCCCCAAAATTACAAATTGTACAAATTTTACAAATTCTGGTCTGATAAATTAGCTTCCAGGGGAATTTGGTAGGAATTAAATTACAAATGTTACAAAGTTTACAAATTTTACAAATTAATTTGTAAAAATTGTAAAATATCAAAAAATCTGGCCCAAAATTACAAATTTTACAAATTAATTTGTAAAATTTGTAAAATATCAAAAACATCTGGCTCAAAATTACAAATTTTACAAATTAATTTGTAAAATTTGTAAAATTTGTAAAATGTGTAACATTTGTAATTTAATTCCTACCAAATTCCCCTGGAAGCTAATTTCTCAGACTAGAAATTGTAAAATTTGTAAAATTTGTAATTTTGTGCCATTTTTTGATATTTTACACAGTTTACAAACTAATTTGTAAAATTTGTAATTTTGGGCCGGATTTTTTTGGATATTTTACAAGTTTTACAAATTAATTTGTAAAATTTGTAAAATTTGTAATTTAATTCCTACCAAATTCCCCTGGAAGCTAATTTATCAGACCAGAATTTGTAAAATTTGTAAAATTGGTAATTTTGGGCCATATGTTTTTGATATTTTACAAATTTTACAAATCAATTTGTAAAATTTGTAAAATTTGTAATTTTGGGCCATATTTTTTGATATTTTACAAATTTTACAAATTAATTTTTAAAATTTGTAAAATTTGTAATTTAATTCCTACCAAATTCCCCTGGAAGCTAATTTCTCAAACTAGAATTTGTAAAATTTGTAAAAAAATGTAATTTTGGGCCATATTTTTTGATATTTTACAAATTTTACAAATTAATTTGTAAAATTTGTACTTTTGGGCCAGATTTTTTTTATATCTTACAAATTTTGCAAATTAATTTGTAAAATCTGGAAATTTCACTTTTTACGCATGTACTTGCGAAATTTGTGAAATGCTTAATTCTTAACCATATTTGTTGGAATTTGGCATAGTTCAGAAACTAATCTGCAAAATGTGTATAACTTGTAATGTAACTCCAGCCAAATCTCCTCGGAAAGCAAATTCCCCAGAGTACGTTTCAATGTCAGCAAACATCCGATTTAGAATTACAAGCTGGATTTGAACAAACATTGCTCGGGGGTTGCAAATTGCACAAGCTAACTTGTAAAAAGGTCGGTCCAGAATTACACAAATTACAAATAAAGGTGTGAACATTGTAAACTTGATAAAACTTGATCACCGTCCTTCCCTTAGCGGCTTTTTTTGGGTCAAGTTTGTTTCATTTTGAATCGGTTGAAGTTTGGTAAGGAAATGGGGAGGAAAGCATATTATCTTTTCATTTGGAATCTCTCTTTTCTGTTATTTCCATGTGTTTGTTTTTCTTTAGGATCTCGAATTCATTCTCCTTTCTTTATCTTTCACTCTCTCCCCTGACCATTTCTTCCTACAATCAACTCAATAAACTAGGATGGAAAAGACAGGGATAAAGAAATAAACATAAGATAGGTAAAGGAGAGAGGACACCTTCTGTAACACGCTTCTTTTGGATAACTTTCATACCACACATACCTGATGGAGAAAGAGATGGAGAAAACCGTGCAAATAGAAAGACATGGAAAGGCTACTGGGATTGTGGGATGGATTCATTTGTATCTCAGAGATTTTATCGCATACCAGGTTAGACCAATCGATGAAGGTAAGGGAAAGGGATAGGTGTGAAAGAACAAAGAATGATTAAGAAAATCTTCCGCCCAGACATCACGCAGAATACACCAGATAGCCTGTCCGTGAGACTTGGAGGCTATGATGAATGAAGATTCCCGCGCTATCCCTTTCCAGCCTGTCTTTGGGGCCTCTTCCAAATCATTGCCTGTTTCCTCTTGTCCATCCATCCTCATCCTTTATTTGCATTTATGGATGGGCAAGAAGCGACGAAAGCATTTGCAGGCAGTAATAATTACGGTAGAAAACGTAAAATCCTCCCTTTCTTTTCAAAATCCTGTTTTATACAAGCTAACAACATAAAAAGGGCGCGAGACAGTTATGACAAAGCTAAAGATAATTATGGGTGGTGCTTACAGAAGCTATCTAATTTATTACGTGCTAATACATGCTTCTAATCTTAAAACCATACTTACATTCCTCGTTCTTTTCTATTTTATTCTTCCCTTGTTGAGATTCATTACGCTATCTTTCTTTGTGAATGCTTTTGGCTGTCCGGTCGTCGCTGGGGCTCACCGAAAAAAAAGAGATTTTGAGTAGGTCTTACTCAAATTATTTTGCTTGTGTTTTACTATCTTTTGGGCCTTTCATCCTTCCCCTTCTTCTGTTTCCCTTATCAACCGTTGAATGCCAGAAATCGAGGGGTGAAGGAAGGAGGGAGAAGCTAGCCCCCCCGTTCCTTCTTCTCCAACTGTATCGCTAGTGGGGAGAAGATAGGAAGGAGATCAACCGTTCCATCTTTACCTTTCCCTTCCCACTACGTTCTGGAGTTCTGTCACTACGAAAGACTCACGATGGAACAATCTAAAAGTGGGACGAAGGAAGGGGATATTGGCTTTATTTTTGGTTTATTTGTAGAAAAAGAAAGCCACTTTCCACAACCCGCTTCTTTCTGTAAAAACACAGATGGAAGAAGATGACCTTTCCTTTCCCGGCCCGGCCAACGCTTGTCATTTTCCTTGCCTTGTCTTTTACATTGCCATGTTTGGGAAATGAAGAAGTAAAGCGTCTGGCAAGGAGGTAAGCGCCCATCAATACTAATTGAAGATAACGAATTGGATTGGCACTTACCATGTCTTTCTATCACTTCTTTCTTTCCTTTTGATGAAATTGAAGATTGAAAATGGGAAGTGAGAAGCCTCTCTTGACTTCTTCCTCAAGCATAGGCTGCTGTTAATCTTATGCCGTGTGATGCTTAAAAAAAAGAAGAGAAGATAGGAGATGGTGAGCAGAAGTAACGTGATTATTTCTTTTCCTCCGATCGCATCCTGATTTTCCCATGTATGTCACCCACCAACATCTTCAACCCATAAAGATTTGACTACAGAATCCTTAAAACCTTTTTAATAGCAAATGCTAGCGGTCTCTCTCTTTTGCTAATAATCTTCTGGAAATGAAAGGACAATAATAGAGTTTTAGATCATAGGATGGTGTAAGGACTGGGTTCTTCTCATCGTTGGCGTCCTTTCCTTGTCCAAGTCACGGAGGAAGAGAGGTTGGTTTGTGGTCCCAAGAGCTTGTATCCTTCCCTTTCTATCTCTTCCACTTCATCCAGGAAACATTTGTGGATGGACATGTCGTTATTAAGATCATTGCCTTTCGGTTTACCATCCCATTTATTGCTTGAATGTCTATCGATATCTTTGTTGTCTTCCATTTACAATATTATCTGAGAAGTATAGAAATGCTTCTGGGTGTGAGGTTGAACAAATTGGCGATGTAAAGAAAATCACGATGGTTGGAACAGAAAGTTAATCATTACCAAGAATAGGTTCATAGTCTCTCATCTGCTGGTTGCATTCTCATGTACTTGTTCACTTTGCAACCTTTCTACTAGTTTATCTATCTTCCCAATCTCTCTTTCTCTCTCTCGCATTGTAAACGTTGGAGGCATCTGGATGGGGGAAAAAACCCGGGGGGTAATAACAAATATGAAGAAGAGGAACTGGCTAACACTCCTTCTGCTCTCCCGTCTTTCGCGGCTATCAGGATTAGTAAGAATTACGAAAAAGGCCTATGAAGAAACATAATAGATACATAAATAAATAAATCAATAGGCAAATGACAGAACCAAGAACATGAAAGTAATAAAGAATGTTAATAAATGAAACGGTTTATTGGGAGACACATTATTCTTGTCCATCAAGAACCCTCTCCAACACAGTGAAAAACCTAGAGTGGACAATGATGGATATGATAGAAAACGCAATAAGATAATAAAACGCAGTAAGCTATGAGATTACAACGATTGTGTAATTATTGCCTTTAAATTCACCCCGTGACCACTTCATCCCATTTACACAAATATATTGGAGAAGATATTAGTGCATGATGAAGAATAAACACAAATTATAACCATAGATAGTTTGCTTGACTCTGAAGAGGCTGTTGGTCTATACTCATGGAGATTATTTAGTTGTATCTTCTTTTTCTGCTTTTGTTCTACTAGAATTTCCTTGCAAAATCTCTCACTCACTTCCTATTGTATCATTAGATATGCGCAATATTCTTGAGTTTTAGGTGAGAATGAACAGGATATTAATAGTTCAAAGTTGCTGGAGAAGGACGGAACACTATTTACGAAAGGCTATTTATTTACTAGAGTCTCATGAGTAATGTTAACTAATTTGTATCGATTGGGGTTTATTTCTCACCTTCTCTTTTTAAGGGGTTTCCTTTTGCCTCCCAAGCTAATACTTGTCAAATCCTACTGAATCAATCTTCATTAATAAAATCATGTTCATCGCTAGAAGTGACCGAAGGAAGTTAATAGTTTTCTCATCAGAATATTGCCTGTCCAAATAGAGTGATGAATGAAGAGACGCTTAACTGTTATTATTGCTTAAGTGACGTCTCACGGACAGGCTACGTCTCCAGACCCTTTTTTATATCTCTCTGATTGTTCTTTCCTTTTATGTTTATTTGACCAGCGTTTGTTTACTATTTACTTCTTCCTCACTGACATTCGATCTTCTCTAACTCTGTTATCTGTTACTGTGGCTTTAATCATTTGATTAACATTTTCTTCTTTCCATTTCCATGCTCTATCTTGGTGAGCTAGCGAACGTTTAATTTAGAAAAAATATGGAAGTGATAGATAGGAGGACATCATTATTTGTTTCTGTTAATACTACTGCACGAAGGTATACCGTGTGCTTTTATCACACTCTCTCACAACCAAAGAGAGGATGTTCATCTGGTCTTCATCACCCCTCACCCTTTTTTCTATTACTACAAACTAGCTGGTTCTTTCAGGGTGGGGCATGCCAAGACATTCCGTTCTACTCTTGGGATTGCACCAAAAGAGTCCATGTGCAACAATGAGCCGTTCTGCTCTTGAAGGCGCGCGGCGGCACATTGTACGTAATCTTCCCTGCCACACCCCCGTGGGGGGCGCCCCCAAACCGCCGCCCACCCGCGGAGCCCGGGAGTTCGGGAGCCCGGCCCGGCCTGGCGCTCCTTGGCATCTCCGGTGGCGGGGCTGCTGAGCACCAGGGCCCGCGCCATGCGCTCGTACAACACCCCGGCGTTGCCGTCCCGGTCCATCTCCTGCCGAAAAAATTGCGTCCGGCCCGTCGGCCCCTTCTGAGGCCCGGCGGCCCGGCAGACGCCGCGCGCGGTGCTCGGCGGCTTCAGCGGGCGGGGGAGGGGAGGGAGGGGAGGGAGGGGACTTTGACAAATCCGGGGCCCGCGTCAACGAAGGCAACACGGCAGCTGGAGGGCATCTGGATCAGTGGGATCAGGACCGGGTCAATGTGTGGAAACGTGGGAAGGGAAAACCCACATGAATCAGTTTTGCGCTTTGGTCGGTTTAATGGAGCCAAAATGCCCCACAGACTATGAAACCGAGCACCGACTCTCGGTGTGGATCTCAACGCGGGAGTCAGGGCGAATCTCAGGGGGGTGAATCAGGGTGAATCCATCCATCCATCCATCCATGCATGCATGCATGCATCCATCCATCCATCCATCCACCCACCCACCCATCCATCCATCCATCCATCCATCCATCCATCCATCCATTTATTGAGGCTTACTGGCTTCCTTCAAACTCGGTCAAGGGCCGCAGGCATGAAACAGAGCTTTACGAGCTGGATCTGGCAAGTCAAGTCCGATTCCAAATTTGCTAAAACACTCGAGGATACACACCGTCACGTGAGGGGGTAGTGGAAGGCATGCTGCCAATCAACTATCAATTAGCAATGTCAGCGATGGATGGTCGAACATGTCTGAATGCGATGAGCTGTTCTCAACCCACCAAACCCAGCCCACTTTCACCTGAAACCCAAACTCCATGAATACAGGCGGATCTCCTCATTGGTACGGCTTCTTCGCCTTCGAGCTTCGGGCTCTGATACGGCTCACGCCTCGTTTCACCGACGCGTTTTTCCGACCCGTTGGTTACTTGAAGGCTTGGTGGACGTTGGAAGGGGAGCAAACCTTTAAGTTTCAGGAGTCAAGTGGATTTGGATTTCAACCACTAAACCAAAAACATGCAACACGCTTCCCAACAACACCCATAAAAGGGGCCCTTAGGAAGCCTCTCAGAAAATCCCGGAACGCCCCGAGCGCCCGGATTCTCGGCTCCCGGAAGTGGAGGTTCCGCACCGCCGCGGCGATGGGCACCTGCAGCTGGGCCAGGCGCGGCAGGTTGCCGCTCTCCAGCGGCATCTCCTCCAGCCTGGGCGAGGGAGCGAGGCGGGAGGAGCGGGGAGGGGAGGGGAGGGAGCGGAGGAGACGAGGAGGGGAAGGGAGGGGAAGGGGGAGGGAGGGGGAGGGAGGGAGGGGAAGGAGGAGCGAGGAGGGCAAGGGAGGGGAGGAACGGAACGACAGCAGAACACAACGAGTCATGATAAACAACAGGCACACCCACTTTGGCCAATGGCTCAACGACGGGCCAACTGCCTCAACCACTTCTGGCGGGCAGCATCAGCCCCAGCAGCTCGAAGAGCGGAGTTGGATGGACTGCGTCCTGCTTTGGAACGCATTGCTCTGCCCACCTTTTTCCCCAAGAAGTCGTACCAATGAACCCGGCGCACGCTCTGCATTTTGCACATTCTGGGGACATCCTGGAGCCTCTCTACTGCCTGTTCAGTTTGGTATTCAACTTCCATGATCGAAGGACGATTAGCTCCCGATGTTTCGAAAATGCAACAGCTTGCGTAAATCGGGAAGCAGTCCCCAGCAGGGTGCTCAACTAAACTCCACTTCGCATTGCACCATGGACCAGCCACGCATCGACGGATTCTGACAGAATCTGATAAGCCCGGAAATGACAACACACAAACACACAGAAAGAACCCGTTCCAGGTGGCAGAAAAGATCTGCTCGATTCAACCCCATGGATGTAGAATAGCTACATGTGGCTTTGCTATTACCAAACTCCTGTACCCCACGATGGGTTCACTCTACTATGTCATATATATATATATATATATATTATGAAAATGTTTAAAAATAATATAGTATTTGTGTAACCCTTTTGTACCTCATTCCCCTTTGACCTTCTCTGAACCCCCCCTCCCCCCCGTCTGACTTGGACCCCGCCCTCTCACCCCGCCCTACCCCGGACTGACCCGGACTCGGGACTCGCGCCTGCAGGGCGATCACCATGAAGGCCTCCAAGGCCGCCTCGAAGCCTTCCTGGTGCCGCCCCGCGTGCACCAGCGCCCTGACGACTTCGGCCGCGTCGGGAGGCGTCGGGAGGCGTCGTTCGGCGTCGGCCGAGGCGCGCGGCAGCGACGAGCCGAGGCGCGGCGAACCGAGTCGCGGGGAGGACCAAAAAAGGCAAAACGGCTGGGCCAGGTGGAAACTGGGCGAAAAATCCGGAGAGACGAGGGGGAAAAGCGACTTTTCCGGGTGTTTCATTGGAAAGGATCGAAGTCCGGTGCCCAAAAGGAAAATGGAGGATATGGAGGAAACCCAGACATACGATTTCAAAGTGGTGCAGAGTTTCGTCCATCCACAGTTGCAAGGATTGACAGGATGTTGATACATCAAAACGCGCTGCCTCCCACTAACTTGGGGGATCTTGCGCAGACAAAGCATGACAAAGCGCTCGAGCTTTCGAGCAAGGCTCGCGCAAGGCTGGCTTGGGATCCCCTCACAAACCAGCGAGTTTTCTCACGCCGAGAGGAAAACAAAAGAGCTGGCCAGGAAAGTCGTCTCCAGTGTCAAACCCTGATCCAAGCGCCCTGCTTGCATTCCACTCTGAATGCGACACCCTCCAGCCAACCTGATGCCTGAGCTGTCCATACCGACGGTACGTCCGTTGGTCAAGCCAACCAAGCCGAGGCTCACTGCTCGACGGTGTTATTCACAAGTGCGAAACACCACACACACACACACACCAATCACTCAAGCCACGCTTCAAGCTTAGTTTTCACACATAGCCTCCATTTGCTTAAGTCCCCTGGAAGCAAAACAAAAATATGCCCATTCGTGATAGATTCTCTTGAAAACCAACAGGAGAAAATGTAAAATCCTCTTCAGCAAATGGAAGATAGCAAGCCCTTTTTAGCTCCGTCTCACGAGTCTCTTCTAGGGAGGAACATCGGCAAAACACCTTTAAACCCGTGCCACGAGTCAGCCGTTGGCCGCATGGTTGGCGATTTCCCCTATCCAGTTCTCTGATGATCCGTTGGGGAATTTTGCTGCAGTCTTAAAGCAAAGGCGAGCATATGGATGTGTGTGTGTTTTTTGTGCCCCCGCAAAATGGCGGTGTTCCTTTTGGCTTTCCCTTTACACCAGCCCCAAAAGTCTGCTTCCCTCCGATTGGCGGTTTGGATTGGTGAAGGGGAGGCGTCCCATCTACCCACAAAGTCCGAAGGCTCAAAATCCCCAACCAATACAAATCACCAACTGGGGGTCACCTATCTCCGGCACTTCCGACGAGCTCGCCTGGCCAGGCGTTCGCAGGCGGTGCCGTAGAGGGGGCTCTCCGTGCCGATGCTGCGCTCCTGGCAAGCCGGATCCTCCCTCAAAAGGGATCGAGAGCTTTCCAATTGGTTGCGGTAGGGTAGCAAGCAAACGCTTTTCTTTGTTTTGCCTAGCTAAAAATGATACAGAACCAACACTTCACAAGACACCGAAAAGACAACCAGATCCAACCGTACAGCCCTCATCGATCCCATGTTTCCACTTGGAGATGCCAGGCCCAAGCCCACGTGCCAGGCGAGATGAAGGCTTTTGGCCGGGAGCAAGTGGAATTTCCTCAATCCGCGGTCAATCACTAGGTCCTCCAGATTTGAGAGGTTAGAAGAAGGGTACCCAATTTTGTGATTGTAGTGGAACCCTCCCAACCAAAAAGGGGTGAGAAAGGGCGGGGGGGGACCTGGATCAAAGCGCCCCCAAATTCAGGCCCGCTGCATATAGAGCGCGAGCTTCAGCCAGGTGGAAGATGGCATCTTCGTGCCTGCAAAGCGAGGCGACGACTAGCGGCTAGCCAGCGCTGCAAGAAACGGGCTGTTTCAAAACAAAAAGTCCAAGGCCATGAGCGGACGGTTTTGTCTTTGCTTCAGTATGTCGGTCCCCATGCATCGCGTGTTTTTGCAATGAATGTGTTTGAAGCCGTGATTGCTCAGAAGAAAGTCGGCATGCGTGCCTTGGCGTAAGTGTGCACGTGTGGTAGCAGGGTGTCTGATCGGCAAAGGACACACTGAACTAACTTCAATTACGTCACCAAATACGTTGCGGGCAACTGATTCCGTGGAGGGCAGGAATCAACTTCTCAGAGTGTTTAATCCATTGAATGAGCATAGCTTGATAGCTTCAGCACCCTGCAAAACGCATGCCTGAAGCGAAGAGGCAGCCGGTTGCTTGGACTGATGGCTGTGGGTCAAAATCCAAATCGCACCACCAGTGAACATCAACCAATCCAACCACTAAAATAGGTTCTAAAATGGGTGCACCTACCCCAAAATGGGATCCCAAAACGGTTTTGACCACCACAGCCTGATGCTTTCATCGGCCTGCCCATTCCGTCGTAGCACATGCCCACGGAGTCTCGCAGCTTGGCGATGGTCACGTCATCCTGATGCTCTGGCTGCTGCGCTCATGGGATCAAGGGGAGCGGTGCCAACTTGAGTTGCTTCCTGGCGGTTACAGCAGTTTGTCAGCTTCCCTCTCATTGGTTGGTGGTTTGTGGGGGTGGCTTCCCATTTACCCTCTACAAGAACCAGGAGTGAGTCATACTCAAAACCCGGTAGTAAAATGCTCGTAATCCCAGAGGCGGCCGCAACTATTTATGGCTGGGAGTCTCCCTTTCTAACCTTCATCTAGATTGTGGCTCACGTGAGTAGCTTCCTATCAGTGGTTACAGCAGTTTGGATAAGGCAGGACAGCTCTTTCAGGATGAAGCCACAGCTGGCCGGGTTCCCAGACCTACCAGTAGGACAAACAACGTTCAGCAAATCGAAGTTTGCCACTTGGTTGTGCCCTTTCTAGGGGACTTCCCCCCTCCAAAAAAAGAAAAAATAAAAATCGGCTTCTTTCCTCCGGGCCTCCCTTTAAAAGCCACAAGACACACACCAACTCCCAAACCGGCAGCCCATCGCCATCCCCGTCCCGCTCGCCGGCCTCCGGCTCGTCCTGCTGCCAGGCCGCCAGGGCCTGCTCCAACAGAGGCGCCGCCTCCAGGAAGTTCTTCTTGTGCATCTCCACGATGCCCAGGTTCCACAGGTCCTGATGGATTCGATCCTCTCCGGAAGTTGGAGCTAACATCCAGTCAGCCCATAAATGGCCAGCGGCAAAATTACTTGCTTGGGGTGTATTCATTCCGACCTTAGGACGTCCCGTATCGTTTTTCATGCTTTGTTGCAGGTTTCGAGTATCTTTTTTTGAGCGTCCCGCATCGTTTTTTTCAGAGAGAAAACAAAAACACGTGCACGCAGTACATGACAGTAATATTGAAACCGGTCACATAAATACATATTTCAGAAGTTCTCTTGTGTGTCTTCCATACCTGCCAAGGAGGGTGAACATACCTTGCCTGGAAACCACTCCGCACATCTCTGGAAAATGCAATGTGTCTGGCAGTTCTCCAGCATAGGGTGAATTCAGTCTAAGGGAACCTGCCGCGGTTCGTGTGTCTACGGTCATGTCCACTGAGTCCACTCTGCATTGCTCATGAACATGTAGGATTCTAGGATTTCGATCTCCAGCGATCCTAGCGTTCGGGAACATCACATGTTGCGGCAAACTGCGAAACAATTGCGGCCTCATCTGAAATCGCATAACCCCCCATCAACCAATTGCGAAGTTTGCAGAGACACCGCTACTCATGACAAGAAGCTACATGCGCAACAAAAGCAGGGATCCTTACATTATACACCTGAACATTGCCTTGTAAATGGTGGTTTCCCTTTATTTTGGTGGAAGAAGCCATGTTTCAAATGGTTGCAAATGAATTTCTTTTAAGGAGCCCTGACAAGGAAAGCCGGATCACAGGGACATGCAGGGTCCGGCATCTCAGCCGTTTGTCCTTTCGCGCGCTTCACGCAGTTCTGACCGATTTTGCTCGGCGTCCTCCTTCTCTCTTTGCCCAACCAGCTCGGAAGCAGCCTCGAAGTAGGTCTTTGCCTTCCGTGTGGTACGGTGGATGCCCTAAATATTGCAAGTAAACCAAAAAGAAACCATGGGAACTTACAGGGTTTTCCTTGCTCCCTTGCAATATTTAGGGCATCCACCGTATTTTGGCATGAACTCCAACGGTCTCTCTCTCTCTCTCTCTCTCTCTCTCTCTCTCTCTCTCTCTCTCTTGTCAAATATCATGTTGCACTACTTGTCACTTGTGCATGCATGATGTACACTACCCGACTGCAGGCCTTGAGTTTACCAGGAAAAGAGTGCATGCTGGCTGACTACATTTGTGTTTGTGATAACTGAACAACACTTGCACTAGAAGTAAAGTATCAACGTATTTTAACGTGGTAGCGGAGCTGAGATCCTAAACATAGGGGAGCTCCAGTAACAGCAGCAAGTACTACAACTGCACAGGCAACCAACATGCCCAACTACTACGACATGTCAGGAGAACCAGCAGCAGCATCAGCACAACCAACTACAGGAGCAGACAACGGGCCCACAGCAGAAGAGACAATAGGAGCCACAACTACGGGAACAACACAGGAGCAGGAAGACGTCCAAAGGCTACACAAATACAAACTGCCACCACCGTTCTTCACTGGTGACTACTCACAGTATGAAGAGTGGCTGTTCAAACTACAAGCATATCTCGGACTTATCGACCGAGACTTCGACATGGTGCTACAACTAGCACAAGCAGCTACAAGACAAATTGAAGATGCAGACATCAGAGCACACATACGCGACCCTACACAGGCAGCAAAAGCAGTAGACCTCTCACAAGATCTACACTACATCCTCATCAACATCTGCCAAGGAGCAGCAGCTACAGTGGTTAGACAAAAATGCTACAATGCCAATGGATGTGAAACACTACGGCTTTTGCACAACAGGTTCAGCCTACCAGTAGGAACACGCAGTGTTGGCTACCTCACCAAACTACTGGAACCTACATTCAATGAAGCACAATTTGAAGAACAATTCCTACAGTGGGAATACGACATCAACCGCTACGAGAAAGACAACGGCACAGCACTACCAGATGGAGTAAAGATTGCAATGCTACTCAACAAGACCAAAGGAGCACCCCAACAGCATCCCCAACTACGTGCTGGACAGATCACGAACTACAACGAGATCAGAGTTGTCATCCTGGACTACTACAAAACCATCTCTGCATTCTCAAGAGCGAGCTCAGCAGTTGGCACAAACTACAATGGTGGGACAGCACCGATGGACGTGGACAACATTTGGAGAAAAGGAAGAAACTACAAAGGCAAAGGCAAATATGGAGGCAAAGGACACTACAAAGGAAACAAAGGAAAAGGTAAGTACAGAAGCAAAGGCCACTACAAAGGATTCGACAAAGGCAGCAAAGGAAACTACAACAAAGGAGGATACAACAAGAACAAAGGAAAAGGCTACTCAGGATCCAAAGGACATGGATCAAGCAAAGGCTACAAAGGCCAAGGAAACTACAGCAAATCAAAAGGAAAAGGAAACACCAATTACACAACATGCCATCGATGTGGCAAACCAGGCCACTGGGCACAAAACTGTAGAGTGCCAGTATGGCACATAGGAGAAGGAGAAGAACTACATCCACTAGAACAAGAACAAGCAGATCACGACAACAATGATGAACTACCTCAGGATGTGAACGACACTTGGGACTGGTACTACGAAGGAGAAGAAGGACAACACGAGGTGAACTACATGGAGGAGAACTGGAACGACTACGACTATGACAACAGCTGGGATTGGAATGACAATAGCTATGAGGACACTGCAAACTACATTGGAGGCATCAACGAGTCACACCTCACAATTGGACACATCAGACAAGCAAACTCACGACTACACAAGCACAAATCCAAATCACTACTTGGCAAGAGAACAACACACACAACATCATGGAACGACCACAGCAAGAGCTTTCAACAATTCCTACAAGAAGACAACACACAGCCACACTTTGATATAGCAGCAGCCAGACAACAACAAAGGAACAAGAAGATTGAGAACACTATCACACACTACATCATGTACTCCAACTTCAAGTCATACCACCACCTGCTGATCGACTCAGGAGCGTCTACACACGTTTGCCCGAAGGACTACGCACCAGACCTACCGCTACGACCTTGTGGAGAATCGGTTCCACAACTCTACACGGTTACCAACAAGAAGATTCCTGTCTACGGCATCAAGTACGTTCCCTACAAGCAGGACAACTTCAGGATCATGATACCCTACTACGTTTGTGATGTGAAGTACCCAATCCTCAGTGCATCAAGACTACTTGATAGAGGACCTACAGGATTCGACATCTATCCAATGACTACAGACAGTGGAAAATCCATTGCTGTGATTCAACCTACAGAGAGAGCAGCACAACAACAAGAACAAATCGCACCACTCACACACACAGACCAAGGACTACGACAGATCCTTGGTGGAAACACTGACTACTGGAAACTTGATGGTGACTACGCCATCAGAGTACACAAACGACCACGCAAAGCACTATTCACACCACACAACAGTGGTTGCCCAATACCTGAAGAAGAACTAGATGATTGGCGACTAACCATCATCAACAGACAAGGGCAAGAGCAAGAACAACTACAAGAGAACCCAACACAACTTTCCAAGCAAGAACTACAACGAAGACTAGAAGGTGACAACTGGACTGGAGAAACCAGATTCAGAAGAAAGATAACACCTACACGCAGAGCAACATCAAAGACACACCAACAAGGCAGAGCTCACAACCACAACGGCTAATGGACACACCACCAACCAGATCAAAGATCCAACTACGAGCACCACAAAAGATATGGAGACCTAAAGCAGCACCTTCTACAAATCTTGACACCACACAACCAAAGGAGACAATCCACAGACCACTCACAGCACAGGAGGACAACCAAGACTACTGGGAAAGACAAGGTGAACACTGGATAAGACACCACACATCACTTAGAACAACTCTATTCACTCCAACAGATGGACCAGGACATCCACCAATCAGCACACTCGAACCTCACAGAACTACAATCACTCACAACAACTTTGGAGAAGTTTCCCAACGCAAAGATGACTGGACAGTCATGGGCAACGCAGCACTACCATTTCAATGGAAAGGAACAACAAGGTTCACCGTGAAGAAAGACTACGAGTACATCCAGGAGAACCACGATGAGGAACAACAACACGAGCATCATGAAGCACACAGAGCAATAGGACTACGACAACCAATAGGACTACGACAACCTCAGCAGCCCACTCCACAACAAATAGCAGAACACAACTTGACACACCTACCATACAGAAATTGGTGTCCAATTTGCGTTCAAGGCAAAGGACGCCAGGACAACTACAAGAAACAACAATCACGACAACCCATCATCCAAGTGGATTTTGCCTACATCAAATCACAACAAGATCCGAAGACCATACCAGTCTTAACGGCAGTTGATGTTACTACACAACTGTGCATGGCGGTATTGGTTCCGGACAAACCATCAATGATGGACTACATGATCAACAACCTACAAGCATTCATCTTTGAATGCGGAAGAACACACAGCATACTACAAAGCGACAACGAAGACACACCCAACGCACTAATACAAGCAACAGCATCTAAAGTCGGCTCAATGACTGTACGACATTCACCATCCTACAGCAGCAACAGTCAAGGAAGCGTTGAGCGACTACATAGAACACTTCTCGGACAAATCCGCGTCGTCAAAGCTCAGGTTGAAAGCAACTACAGCATGACGATGTCCACAAAGCACTGTCTACTACCTTGGATAGTACGACATGCAGCATGGACGGTAAATCGCTACGTCATTCACTCAGACGGCTACACAAGCTTCGAACGCCGCTGGGGAAGAAACTACGAGCGAGCAATCTGCGAATTTGGCGAGACACTACTCTACCTTCCACCACAACACAAGAAACTCCCAAAAGCAGACCTACGGATGCAGAAATGCATCTGGCTCGGAAAAGTTTCCGAAACCGGAGAAAACTACGTCGCAACGGAATCAGGCGTACAAAAGGTACGAACAGTGCGGAGACTACAACCGGACTTCAAATACGACCTCGCACTATTGAACAAAGTTTCCGGCACACCGTGGGCACCACGACGGAACACCTACAACCCATCGTTCGCAACACTGTTGGATGCGCAACTACCACCGTCAGAGAGAAGAAGGTCCACGCAAGATTTCGGACAACAAACGAGCGCTACGGACGACATCGTTGCGGAACCCGCAACAAAACAACAACGCACCACACCACCTCCACGACTTCCGTCAACATCGACGTCAAGTTCACGACCACTACCGGATAGTCCGATGGCTACTTCACCAACCGGACGACAACATCCACCACTACCAGCACCACCTCGACAAACACTACGACGTTTAACTCCGGAAGAAGTAATGCAACCAACTAAAGCACAGAAGACCTCAAAGGACACTACAATCAGATCAACGGAGCAAGCAACCAAAGAACCACCACCACTACGACAGAAAATTAACGCAGTGACACTTCCCAACGGCAAATTCATCACACCCTACACAAACGACGACACCTCAGAAGACCAACCCATAATCTTCGACAACGAAGGTTACGACGAAACACAACTACTGGAAGGAATGAAACACGAGTCAAATCAAATGAAGCTACATGACGTCTACGACGAAGTAGATGCGTCTACCGTCGACGACAACGTCATAAGAGAAGCGATACCTACTAGATGGGTACACAGGAAGAAAGGACCAGGAGTGCGAAGTCGAATCGTCGCAAAAGGCTACACAGAGAAGATCGAGGACGAAGACTCCGTCTACGCCTCTACACCAATGTTCACGACACTCCGGACACTTCTCGCACTACAAATGTCACGACCAAACTGGATAGCGCGACTAGGCGACGTCTCTACAGCATTTCTACACGCACCCATCGCAAAAGACCACGACGGTAAACAACGTGACGTCTACCTTTGGCCACCTAAAGAACTTTGTCCACAACAGGACAAAATCTGGCGACTAAAGAAAGCCATGTATGGACTACGCAGTTCACCAAAAGCATGGCAGGACTACCTGGCTGAAGTGTTACAAAAGCTCAGCTTTGTAAGACTAAAGTCAGAACCTAACGTCTACACCAATGCAACTCGCGACTGCTACATCATGGTCTACGTGGATGATCTCTTGGTACTTGGTGACAAGACTACTGTCGACTCCACCTTCGAGGCCATCCAGAAGCAGGTCCTACTCAAGCACATCGGCTACCTCGAACCTGGCAAACCACAACAATTTCTTGGAAGAAACATCGACCACTTTGGCAACTACTGCAACCTGGGACTAAAGGACTCCTACATCGACAACATGATCGAGGAGTCTGGAATGAACAACTGCAACCCAGTGAACACTCCAGGAATTGCACACTACAAACCGACAATAGAAGATGAAGCACTACTTGACCACGAACAACACAAAAGGTACAGAAGGATTGTTGGCAAACTACAATGGTTAGCATACACACGACCAGACATCGCATACTCCACAAAAGAACTAGCACGAGACCTCACAGCACCTACAGAACTCTCACAAAAGAGAGTCAAACATCTACTACGCTACTTGAACGGCACCAAGCACTACAAATTCACCATAGAACCAACAACAACACTCAGAGCAAACACTAACAACATCCTGGATCTCGACGTTCATGTCGATGCCGACTGGGCAGGATGCCCTACTACCAGGAAGTCAACTTCAGGTTTCAACATCATCTTTTTAGGAACAACAGTTGCATTTGGCAGCAGAACACAAGCTACAATAGCACTCAGCTCAGCAGAGTCTGAACTCTACGCCATTTGCACAGGAGTCAATGAGGGACTACACCTCAGAAACTTCCTACTTGAAACCAACATTTGCAGCAAGCTAAATCTACGCATCCACACAGACTCCACAGCAGGCAAGAGCATTGCTACACGACAAGGCACTAGCAAACGAGCAAAACACATCGACCTTAAATTTCTCTACACACAAGACCTCATCAAGCACGACATCATCAGAATCCTCAAAATCAACACACTACACAACAGCTCAGACTTGTTCACAAAATACATTAGCAAAGAAACACTACAGAGGCTCATACAGAGCATTGGCATACGTGTTTAGCACTACGAACAACAACTGTTTCACAACTGTTGCACATCAATCACAACAGTTTGTATATGGCCATATGTAACTACCTGCATTTAAGTAACAGTAACAGTAACAGTGACTACAAGTAATAGTAATTGTAACCACCAGTAATTTGCACTTGCACTTTTGGCGGCTTTTGGCGGCTTGAGTCAACACTACATGTTGTTTTGTGTTTTACTACATGCCCGCATGTGCTTTTGTGAGCTAACATTGGCTCACTACTGTCTGCCCCGTTTCACTGCATCTCGATAGGCCGAACTACCAGCAATGGCTGGAACTACGCCCATGGATGCGACTACGCTGGATGTCATGCCGATGGAGGTTACTACATCAGCGCCAGAGACTACTCTGCCCGTCGAACAACAGGCTGGCAGTACTACACCGGACCGTGTTTTCACACCACCGGATCGGCAGGGCACTACCGACTCCGGCAGCATGGCTACTTTGGCCACTCCACCACCTGAGGCCTACAACTCCCTCAACTACAACTTCAATCACCAACTACCCACACCGGCACCTTTCTACAGACCCGACGACATCTTGGCACACCTCACTACAACTGAGAACAACATCCCCGACACTCCAGCGATCGACCCGGAGCAGAACTACTTCAGGGTCTACGCGGCTTTGACGCTCGAGGAGTTCCAACTACTAAGTCAACAACAAACTACACCCATCCCCGAGCTCAACTACAACCTACCAGTTCACGACCTACCTTCAGACCTACGGATGCCACACTACGACTCACTACCTCTTCACCTACGTCTTTCAGAGGCAGTCAACTTCTACTACTACAACCTTACATCACTACACCTCACAACCCAGTACACCAACTCGATGGTCATCATCCAACTACACATTCCACCAGAAGTTCTACTATGATTTGTCAGCGCTGGACAACTCGTCAATTTCTGCCGCGACTACGTGAGCCACATGATTTCCATCAAAGATGAGCACCACCTACCTACACGCCAGCTACATCAACGACTACACCGAATCACCTCCAACTTGGACCAGATCACCACTACATTCGACCTGTCCAACAACTTCAATTGGAACTATCACATGCCCCTGTACCTACCAGAACTACTCAACTACTTCGACCAACCACAACAACTTCAAGACCACCACTACAAGTCCATCAACACGATGCTACACAAAAGTGTCACCTACTACGGCATCACCCTCCTCACGGCTACAAATCTTTCCATGCAACACAAACTACTACTCCACAACTACCTCACTACCACCGGCCAAGCACTTGCACCACCGGAATGCGACTACAACCGTGGCGGTCCAGACTTCCTCAACACACTCACTACCAACCACTATGCAGGCTTGGACTACCGCATCAGCCAAGTCCAGAACTACCGAGTCCAACACTGGACTAAGCACACCTGATCTCCAGGTGGAGCTGCAACTACGTGCTGTACTACGTCATCGTACTACGAGATGACTGAGAACCAACTAGGGTTCTTGTACAGCAATTTCACTTTTCTGATCATTTGAAGGTTAGTTGAACTACAGACAGCAGCGCTGTAGATACCTACCTTCGGTCATCTTTTCTACATGCCTGTTCGCTACAGTAGCATCGGCAAACAACATGTGCATTCGTTTTTGCCACTACTGTCAATACCACCTTTTGGGTCTATGGTTAAAGGACGCTACAAGGTCTTTTAACCAAGGGGCCGTGTCAAATATCATGTTGCACTACTTGTCACTTGTGCATGCATGATGTACACTACCCGACTGCAGGCCTTGAGTCTACCAGGAAAAGAGTGCATGCTGGCTGACTACATTTGTGTTTGTGATAACTGAACAACACTTGCACTAGAAGTAAAGTATCAACGTATTTTAACGTCTCTCTCTCTTTCTCTTCTCTTACTCTGTCTTGCTCTTACTTTGTGGGCTGCAGCAAGCTCTTGTGCAACCTGTGAAGCTTGAAGGTGGCAAATCCCAATTCCCCATTCGCGAGGTGACAAGGGCCTTGTCATGCTCCCGCAGCATGTTGTACACCGTGCCAAGATTGCGGAGGGTCGCTTCCTGAGCATAGGTGGCCTTTTAGACTAGATGGCCATGGTAATTGGAATAAACCTCATCTACACCAGGGCCCTCCTTTTCTTGGCAAACTAACCAAAAAGGACACCTCTGTTCCTGAGTTGCATGGAGGTTGCAGCCTGCGGAGCTGGCGGAAACTCACGATCTGCCTCATGCCACGATGAGAATGAGAAGTTTCAGATCCTTCTTAGTTGCTCAGTCCTCCTGCAGCCCCATTGGCCGCCACTCTAAACACGCGCACCATATATATATATATATATACACATGTATACGTACATATAATATATATATATATATGTGATTCGGGCACGAGCCTGTGCCCAGGCAATGGGTTAGTTGGGGTAAACAAGCCACAAAAGAAAGGTTCCCCAAAAGCAAACCAATCCCCGGTCCCAAAGATCAGGGTTTCCCACACACCAGAGAACAACAACCAAAAGGAAACAAACCAAAAGAGAAAAGGGTTAACCCGCAACCTTGATCGACAACAGGCCGCACGACTGGTCCCTACCAACCTGGCGGCGGCCCGAGGTCTCTTTCTCCCCCGAGATGCCGTCGGTCGACGCAGGGGTTCGGCGACGCCCATTCGAGGCGCGACGGAACCCGTAAACTTGAGCCAAAACACCACAGGTCGGTCACTACCGCGACGTCCCTGATGATGATATGAACCATGGCTAATCACACCCCCCTCACGAGGAGCCCGTCATATGACGGGTGGAGAGTGCCATTTACTGATAGGATTTAACTGCTCGCATGTGTCCGCAAACAGCTGGACACTACCGCCGTCAGCGGTGGAGCAAACCCACAAAGGCAGTTGCGCGACGTCCCGGGCATTAAAATCCCGCCACCACCCCGAATTAATCGGGGTAACGCTGTCCAACATACCTTGTGGAAGAGTCCACATGACGGCAATAGGCCACAAGTGTTTGCATCAACAATGCAAGAAGTTCAATTCTTATCAGAAGCCATGAAACAAAGGGTAACGTATGTTCATCAGTACCCTCGCCTATCGGCAAGAGGTACTCCCAACCATGCGTACCTGAAAAATGCTTGAATTCCGCAAGCCTGGGAGTATCCCCCACCAGTTTGCTTCCCCTCTCACTCACACTACTTCATGGTGAGCGCGACCAGCAGCCGAGCAGCGGTACGGGAGAGACACGATCTCCGCGCCTCAGCGGTTCGGGAGGAACATCATCACCTCCGCGCCGCGCCGACCATCGGAGAATGGACGCAAGCCTATCGGCCGCAATCCTCGTGACTTAGCCTATCGGCTATCGTCACGTCTCCTCCGGTCACGTCCGCCCCGCGCACGGTCCCTATCACGATCCCTCTCGGATCTCCTGCGATCATCTCGCCTTCGATCCCGCCCCCGATCGAGCGAATCATCATCACGACGATCTCGAGCATCGTCCCTCCTCCGGTCACGATCTTCGTCACGCCGCGGACGATATCTGCGCCTTCTTGACTCTCGGGAATCCCTGGTGTCCACGGTCCTAACGGACCTCCGAGAAGGAGTGCGGGAAACGTCCGAGTCCCGACGTCTCCTCCCAGGGCGAGAGTTCGTCACGATCTGATTGAGAGCCTCCAGTGCTGAAGCGTTCTCACCATTCCTGATGAAATCTCTGACCTGCTTATTCAGCACCCTATTGGTGGAAATCGACAGGAAGGCGTCCACCACCGAACTCTCTGGCAACACCAGGAAATGACCCTCCACCGGGCTCGCTGCAGCTCGCTCAGCTGACTGCAACCTGATCTCGCCACCTTCAGGCTTCTTTGCCATTGCCTTGGAGGCCGTGGAAGGCGCTACCGCGTCCTTTGCCGAAGACCTACCAAGCGCGGAATGAAGATCATCTCCACTAGCCTCTCTCGCTGCCGCACCTGGCCTGCTGTCAACGTCATCAGGCCTCGTTGATGCCTCCCGCTTTGTCGATTCCTTCACAGTCTCGTCGGGATCCCAACGCGACTTCCTTTCTCTCTTCTGCCCTTCAGCCGACCCCCGACTATCGCCGGGAGCGTCGTCTCCGCCTACCTTCTCCTTCTTGACCTCAACCTTCGGGTCGGCCTGCTTCGTCTCCTTAGGCTCAGCCTTCGGGGCTGATGCACTCTTCGCCTCAGAAACCGAAGCAGCCTTTCCTTTCGGCTCGGCCTTTGGGACCGGAGTCATCTTAGCCTTTGCACTTGGCCGGGCTCCTTCAACCGCTATCGCGACCCAAGTCTTCTTTGGTTGAGCCGCAGGTGTATCAACCTCCATCGGAGCCGGCCTTTGCTTTTGCCTTTGGAACGGAGGGGCTATCGCCCTTACCAGACCCTTTTCCTGACGCGTCTCCTGACTTCGGTGGTGGGCCGGAAGGACTACCGCCCTTGCCGCCCTTCTCTCCTTTCTTCCCTTTTCCTTTTCCGCCCTTGACGATCGGCTCCTGCTTAGGACCAGGACCCTGTGCAGCATGATGCACCGACTGGAGCTCGTCAACATTCACATTCAATGGCTCCGGTTGACGACCATCAAGAACCGTCCTCACCCTTTCGTCGCTAACGTAGACGAATGGGTCACGGAAGGGGGCAGGAGGCTCTGATTGCCCAGCACTGATCGCCTTCTGCACCTTGGCTACCGCCTCCCTCAACCTCTTCTTCTCATCGTATCCCGTTGCTGAGACCATGTATTTCCTGAGATCCGCTATCAATGCATGGCTAGCCAGGATGTCCACGTCCTTCCTGTGGGTTGGATACAAGGGAGTCAGGTGACCCGCCGCAGCACCAATCACGTACGCCATCGGGATATAGAAGGACAAGTACGTGTCATGACGGGCGAACTTCCTAACGGAAGTCGTCATACGTGTACCCCACTGAGCCGCATGCATCGGGTTCGCTCGGAAGTACTCAGTCACCGACTCAAATCTATCGACTTGATTGGTCTTGATCAGGTGCTTCGCCACCCACTTCTCCACGAATGCATCCGAGGCCGAAATCCCCGACACATAGGAGAACTGAAAGAGCACCTTCGCCAGTTCATCCCACGCCGCCGCATCGACTCCTCCCTTGTCCTCACCAAGATAAGGGGGCAGCCGGATGCCGCTCTGCACCGTCCTCAGGTCAGACGCCATCGAATAGGAAATCAAGTTCCTCTTGATAACTCCGACCACATCGGATGCGATCCTCTTGGGCTTGAACTGTCCCATACTCTTCACCCAATCCGGGATGATGCGGCACCCCACGAAGTCGTCTTCGTCCGCGTTGGGGATGAAGTTCGGGTAGAAGACCGGGAGCGCACACCCAGGGCACAAATGCATCCCAGTTGGCGTCATCTCCGCGCACCTCAAACAGAAGGTGCTGGTCACGCTCAACCTGACTTCCGCACGCGTTCGTTTGTGCTCCCCCCTCTCGGGAGTGAAGTCACCGTAGTCCCAAGCCCGATGATACACTATCGTGTAATCATCGAACATGTACGCAGCCTTCCACGCACCCATATGGATCTCATTCCGAACAGCAAGGGTCTTCCTCCTTGTCGCGACCAATGTACTCGAAGGTCCACCATCACCACCACGTACCTACCCGAGTAGTTCCGCAGCCTGTCCCTGACGTACCACGAAGGCGATACCTCAGCGTTTGGCCTCATAGTTTCCACAATTGGAACCAGGCCCTCATCCTGCCTCCCATCTCCAATCGATTCGTACTCATCGGGCCTTGTGATCAATATCTCGATCATGGCCTTTCCATTCCATCTCATCTTTTGGAGCTGGACCGCCTTCCTGAAGTCCAAGAACTTCATCACGACATACCCTACCATAGGAATTTCATTCCAGTGCATCTCGTACATCAGAGACCCGCCAGGTGCATCCTCTTGGGTGTACCGTTGCCTTACAGAACTGAAACTCATATCTCGTCCAATCCGCGTGTACCTAACGGCCACCAACCTGGTGCATTCCCTGAGGAGGATACCATTCCCATCATACATGATCATGAGCATCACCTCAACCTGCCCTATCGGGAAAGCCTTGATCGCCGGAATGAAGAACTTCCACGTCATCTCGGCATTCTCCATGCCCGTGATCTCTCTCAGGAACCAGACAGCCTGGTCACTACTCACCCAGTTTCCAGACTCTCGTCCAGTTTCCTTCAGCACTTTCTCCTCGAATAACTCCGAGACTCTTTTCGAGTTGATGACCAAACCTTCAAAGTCGCACGAGAGCAGCTTCATCAACTCCTGGGCCGCCTCCCGCCCTGCGACGGTGGCCGCGGTCTCCTCGTAGTTCGGAACGTACTCGCTCAACCTAGTCTTTGAGGGGACCACAATCTGGCAAGTGATAGCCTCATCAGGCACAACTCCAAAAGCTCGCAGATCCGGATTGATTTCCTGCCTATCGGCAAGGTAGTCTTTCTTTCCGTCCAGAACCACAAGATTGTATGTCATCTTGCTCGCCGTATCACTCGGGCGGAATTTCCTGCTTGCGTCAATCTGACCGGGCGCAAAGGGCTCAGTGGGAGCGCTCACACTCAGCGAAGGCGCTCCTCGTCCATAACACAAATGCTTCTTGTGAAAGTTTACCATCTCATTCAGCTGCGAGAGGGCATAGGCTCGATCCTCCGGCGAAGCGCTCTTCATCCCAGCCTCGGTGAGAGGAGCCTCAGGCTTGTCATAGCTCGCCTTTCCGCCCCAGCTCAGCAGACTTCGCAGGATCAAGCAACCCGACCATTCAGGCATGTCACTTAGCTTCCTAGTTAACGCGTCTATCGACGCAGTCAAGTTTTCAGTGGTCACGGTGTGAGGGTCAACCTTTTCCCTGTCCTCCTGGCCAATGTCAGGAAGCCTAATGTCCCCGCGGATAGCCTCCATCGCGGCCTTGTCGGCCTCCTGAGCCTCCGCTTGCGTGGCCAGGGCCCTGGGGATCAAGAGCGCCGCCTCGGCAGGCAACGACTTGTCCATGTCAATCGGAGTGTTCTTTGGAAGGATCCTTCGGTCGTCCCCCTCTCCGCTGTACTCATAGGTGGGG